CCTACCCCCCCCCCCCCCTAATATTACATTGTTCGCTTATAATGATAAAAATATGACATTTATATCGCGCAAATCCATAAAACAATCATTGCTCTATGCGCATTGCATAATATTCATGAAAAACATGCATACACACATACATGCACATAATATATGCACTAAAAATAATGGGTGTCACGACATGGTGGGATCAAGCGCTCGTCAGTTTTGATTTTGAGGCATACAGAGTTATCTTAAAGCCAGTCCATTTGCCTTCCTTTTGATGAAAACAATATTCATCTATGCTGAATAGAAGTTGAAATATTTGTGATTGAAAGAGGTGGGGTCACCTGATTTCAGAGGTAAATTTAGTGAGAAAACGGCCGCCAAAGTTTGATAACTTCAATAGCTTGAGAGCCTTTAAAACTGAAAAATCTCAAATTTTTGTGCATGTAATGAACGTTTTCCTGTATGGAAGTAAAAGGTGTTTAGCGCGAAAAAAAAATTCAATAAAAGTTCCCAAACCTGCGGAAAAATGCCAGTTTTTTTCACTTTCATTTCTTTGACGAGCGCCTGTTTTCACCATGCTGCCTCACAATTAGAGTAAATTTTAATAATTCAAGGAAAATATTGCATACACACTCTTTCTTACTAATAAAAAGGAAAAAATTGAGACTCATGTCTATGACAAAAGAGCTTTAATAATTAAAAAAAACAAGTTACAGTGGAATTCTGATGAAGTCAACACCCCAGACAGAAAAAAAGTGTTGACTTTGAGCAAGGTTGACTTTATCCATTGTACTACATGTACTGGCCATTGAAAATTGAAGATGACAGCTACAAAATTACAAAGTACCTGGTAATAAACAAGATGTAATCTCAATTTCAGGGAGTATAATTCTGAAGTTGTCACCAAAACAAGAGCTAATGAAAGAACAAAGTGCATGAGGTGTGTACACCACTTGCTCAGGCAAAATATCTCTTCTTGAATGGAATTCATCTTAGGATTTAGCCCCAAATTGTTAACTTTACGCCAGATTAACACTCACGCGGTTGACTGTATCAGAAACACAATTACTTTAAAAAGGAAGGTAAGAAACGGGACTACAGTGAGGTGTTGACTGTAAGCAAGTGTTGATTTTATCAGGATTCCACTGTATCTCTGTTATTACTGATCATTTATGCTGAAAAAAAGTGAAATTAGCTATCATCAACAAATGCAGAGTTCATCATTATGTCAAAAATATTTTTTCACCTCACAAAAGTGTAATATTACATTAGTTCAAGGACACCCCCCCCCTTTCTTACACTTTTCTT